AATCCTTAGTAGTGTAGTGGTAGGGAGAAGTTGCATCAAGCTGAAGATGCCAGGCTCAAATCCTTCGTAGCACCTTTTTCTTTCTTTCTTTTTGTTTTGTTTGCTTATTTATTTTGTGTTTTGTTTTAATATATAAGTTGTGGTTCAATTTTATCCTTGGTTTAATTTTTTTTTTTTATTTCGTTACCCTCCTGATCGTATTTTAAATTAATGTTATGTACAAGAAAACACAAAAGAAATAGACTGAGAAATTATTTCTTAAATATTTTTATTCAAAATCCATCAGTTTCATAATAAAACACTGTTAAAAGCACATCGCGAAACACTTACTGGATTGTGGATCCGGACTGGATTGTGGATCCGTTCATGGAAATCAGCTAAGCACATGGTTAAATCCAAAGCAAAATCCATCTCAAATCGGGGTGCATCTTCTAATTTTTCTAAACACAGGACTAGCGCTTTGCCGCAGTTTACTAAACATTGAATCAATAATTTTCTCAAAATCACTGCGTGGAATTGAAGTGGTAGCCATCTGTTTTGTTATGGAGTGTGGGTTAGAATACAATACACATGTGAGTACAGGTAAAACTGATTTATCTAGCATGAAACTTGTCTGACTCATCCAAAATGTGGGATGAACAGTAAATCAAAGGACTTTGAAGATTGTGGAAGCATCACTTCCTCTTTCCCAACTTTTCAAGGAAAGATCAAAGCGATCAACTCTGCTAGCAGGGTAATCATTGGTCAGTGGAACATTAAAATCAGCAAAGAATCAAACTGCCATTTCACACCATTTTCCTCATTTTGATGTGGTGATTTACATTTGAGTGGGAAAAAACCAGCCCTTGATACTTAGAAAATAGTTGCAAGAGCATTATTATTTAAATTTGTGAGAAAAGGTTTCAAATCCAGATTGTGGTGATTTGTGTGATCATAACTCGTGATGTGTTGAAGATTTTAAAGAGAAAGTCTTTTTTAACCTGAATTTTGCAAAATTTTTTCTTAACAGAACCCCGGCATGGTATTATGTCCCACCTCTCAGATGACTATTTTTTAGGTCAACTGAGTGGGAACTTGGACCATTCTGTAGCTCATTGATTCCTAAAGTTTGTAGTGAATTCAGGTGATCTTAGAAGGTAAGTCAACCTGACTGGAGTTTTTCATGAACGCTAAAATAAGAGGTTCAGGGCCTTGGTTAACATATAACATGTGCTGTTTGTTTAGCTATCAATGACTGATCAATGTACATTGTAGCTGATTAATGAAGTACATTCTTTCTTTCAGATAGACTATTTTTTGCATGCATGCATGTAATCGTGAAGTGACATCAACGTTGGCTGTAAAATTAAGGTTAGTTTCCTTTGCAGCTGTTTTTAGGGTTGTCACGAAAAGCTTAGTCAAGCTTATTAAGTTTACTTACTTGTAACTTTTGATAAGCTTACTTTCGTGAAAGCGTTCTTTGTTTTAGCAGTATAGTGTTTCATGTATTACTGACACCTAAGTTACATGTAATTATGCTTTTACACACTAATCTATTGATTTGTCATGCCTAATTCATAGTAAGTTCATTTTATATTATTGCATACATGTATTTCAAGAAGACTAAGGAATTCCATGACAAGTGATTTAACCCTCGAAATTGACTTGCTGTTAAATATGCTGTTTTTCAGTTTGAAGTTCAGTACATTAATTTAAAGTAACCCGCCATCTCCTTTATGTCACTGAAAATATTCAAACAAAATTGACTGAAATTAAAATACGCAGTATATCTATATAAGGTAAAATTACAGCGTTTGATTGGGGAAGGGAGGTCAGTTTTTGTACATATAATTATTATTATCAGGAGGTTTAGAAACCAAGGGTCTAAGCAATTGTGATTCTGCTCTAAATAATATTATTTATACAACAAGATACAATGCATTAACTCTGATTGGCTAAGAAGCGTGTTTGCATTAGACTATGTAAGGTGAGGGTAAATGGCAGAATAATATTTTATTTTACAGCATGGAATGTGGTATGACTTGCAGAAATAGCATAATTATTCAAAAATTATGTTAACATCTACAGAATGACTCAAAGTAATACCATAAAATTCCGAAAATAAGCCCCGGGGCTTATATTTTTCAATTATATATATATTTTTTATATTTTTGGAGGGGCTTATATTCGGAGGGGCTTATCTACGGAGGGAAATTTGCGTTTCAAAATCGATTGGGCTAGCCTTATAGTTGGAAGTAAATTTACCATTTTTGCTTTGTTTTACTTTGTATTTGAGGGCAATTTTCCAAGTACAAGCCCCTGGGGGGCTTATATTTGGAGGGGTGATTTGATGGAGGGTTTTTTGCGTCACGAGTTTGGGGGGCTTATTTTTGGAGGGGCATATACATGGAGGGGCTTATTTTCGGAATTTTACGGGTAATTTGGTATATAGATAGGCAGTCAATCATGGCTATAATAAAATTCCCAAATGGTTATCAGCTGTCAATTTAAGTGGTACCGTATTTATTCGAATAAGCGCCCAACCTCGAATTAGCGCCCACCTCGAATAAGCACCCATCCTAAAGGCAGAAAAAGTTAATAAGCACTCAGCCTCGAATAAGCACCCACCCCCTCCTCCTCCCAATCAAACTCAAATAAGCGCTCACCCCCACCCCATCCACTTGAGTGAATAAATTCTAATGAGAGACTTCCCCGAGGACGGAGTTTTCTTCAGAGTATTTTACAGAAACCTTCCATGCTTTGTTACTTCTTTGCGTTTTGTTATTAGCATTTATTGTTTTGTTGCAAAGTAAACTTACTTCACTTGCTGAAAATGGTGAAAATTTAATAAGCGCCCAGCCTCGAATAAGCGCCCACCTCGAATAAGCGCCCACTCTCAAGGTCCAAAAATTTAATNCTCGAATAAGCACCCACCCCCTCCTCCTCCCAATCAAACTCAAATAAGCGCTCACCCCCACCCCATCCACTTGAGTGAATAAATTCTAATGAGAGACTTCCCCGAGGACGGAGTTTTCTTCAGAGTATTTTACAGAAACCTTCCATGCTTTGTTACTTCTTTGCGTTTTGTTATTAGCATTTATTGTTTTGTTGCAAAGTAAACTTACTTCACTTGCTGAAAATGGTGAAAATTTAATAAGCGCCCAGCCTCGAATAAGCGCCCACCTCGAATAAGCGCCCACTCTCAAGGTCCAAAAATTTAATAAGCGCCCAGGGTGGTTAATCGAATAAATACGGTAATAGAACAGTGTAACAGGACCATATGCATCATGTATAAGTTGGACAGTGTGCACCATTACACACAAGCACTTAAATGTTTTTTTTCACTTTGAGCAAAAAACTTTCAAAACAAACACAATGTTTTTGAATCAAAAAGGCATTATAGCATTTTCATTTTTTACAAATAGATTAGTACAATACCAAGCATTGCTTAACAGGAGATCACTTGTGTTATTTGAGGATTTATGCTTAGAATATAACCTTACCATGAGAGTATTAAAATTTAACTGTTTACATGAAAAGATTTCAAGTGCATGATATCTTTCATCAGTTTTTTAGACCAGCTTCAAACTACCAAGATACTGAAGATGCTGCCCTGTGATATCACAAGATTTTAAATACACTGAGTAAATCATACTTGCTCCTGAAAGTAAGTTACTCAGCTCTTTGTGGCCTTTGTTCTACACCTGTTGGCACTCTTGAGCTAATTTAATGTAGTTTCACTACTGAGATCATTACCTAGATCACCATTTCCTCTGATTCTCTAATACAGTGCTGTAGTCAAGCCTTTGTTAATAATGGATCCCACCCCTAAGTATACACTTAGATCCGTAGCCAATAATACCAACACTGCAATTTCAATAGGGAATCTTTTTACTGGAAATCTCCCCTCCTAAAATAAATGAAGCTTTTTGTGGTCCCTGCGCCACTAATAAACACTTCATTTTTAATTGACCTTTGTGAAAAGATGGTTTTCTCTCCTAAGCCAACACTAACTATTCGTGGACCCCAGGGGATGGGGGGTACTCCAGATTTCAAGTGACAGGGATGATCAAATTGGGGGCAAAAGTCAAAACCCAAAAAACTCCTTGGACTAAAATTTAACCTCCAAAAAATCCCTTGCCTATTTTCCAAGCCATAAAAATTTTCAAAGCAACTACACGGCCAGGATACACTGGAACTATCATGAATCGTCAGGTTGTTTTGAATACCCTTAAAAAATCCCTACTTAAATCAAGCTAATAACCCCAAAAAATACTTGCCAAAATTTTCCTACCCGAAAAAATCCAAAAAAAGCTTCAATCATCCCTGTCACCTGAAATCCGGACCACTTCCCCTGGGTCATGGACCCAGGCACAAACACTTCATATTGGCCTTTGTGAAGCAGACACCTGAATCTTCCAGGTGGACACTTTTTCTTGGTTACAGGAGGATTGACTCTATAAATAAAGTAGCTGTGACATTAAGTAACTTATTAATTTTTTATTTAATTGTTAAAAAGTTTTCCAATGTGGTGATCTTGTAAATTATATTTGCATGGAATCCACCAGGAAATTGAGTAATTTTAATTTTCAGAGGACAAAAACCTTGTACCAGAATAATTTAAAGAATATCACATGATTCTTTTTTACATTTTTCAAGGGCTAAAGATGTAATTAGTCATCTGTAGTAACACCAAAGAAAACCCCTGATGGGAGCCCAAGAAAATGAATGTCAAATTTCACAAAATTACGTCTTACACATGAAATTTTCAGAATTTTACCTGTGTTTTCACAATTCTTGTGAAATTTGACATTTATTTTCTCAGACTCCTATGAAAAATTTTCTTTGGTGTTACTACTGATGACTAATTTGTCTTTAGCCCTTGGAAAATGTAAAAAAAAAATGGAATATTCTTTAAATTATTCTGGTACAAGGTTTTTGTCTACTGAAAATTGAAGTTACTTAATTTGCTGGTGGATTCCATCTTTACACTGTTAGGGGTAATCTTTAACTGAGACTCAATGGCACAACATCAAGACCTCAAAAGAAAAGGAGGTGCTCCTGACCATCAGGCGGCAATAGAAAATGCCCAGCCTCTGCCTCTGAGTATTGAAGTACCTAAAATAAGAGATCTTCCAAACAAGTCAAAACCATGGAGTGATGTCCAGCTTCCTGTTGACATTCTCTTGTTGACAGTGGAAGACTGTGAGTTCTTGGCTTGTTATACATACTTGACAAATGCCTTTAAAAGTTATCATGTGAACCTTGGACATGTGTGCTTTGGAACGATGGGTGAAAGTGGAGAGGAATCACTGAAAGTTGCTTTGATGAGATGTTCTAAAGGTTCTTCTGGTCCAAGTGGTTCTTTAGTTACCGTCAAAAATGCAGTGGTACAACTGGGACCCAAAGCTGTGTTTTCTGTTGGCTGCTGCATTGGTTTAAACCAGAAAGGCACCAACTTAGGAGATGTGGTTGTATCGTCTACACTAACAACTGATGAATTCACAGCCCCTGTAAGAAGGAATACCTAAATTACATGTAAGTAGGCTTGTACACACTAATCTATTGATTCCTCATGCCTATAATTCATAGTAAGTTCATATTACATGTATATTATTGCATACATGTATTTCAAGAAGACTAAGGAATTCTATGAGGTCTGGGTGCCTTAACTAAAATGCTTGGGAGCCCGAAGGGCTCCCTGAAATTTTCCTTAGAGCACAGCCTTGGTAGTCAAGCCTTTGTTAATAGTGGATCTCACCCCCAAGTTTACACTTAGGTCCGTAGCCAATAATACTAACACTGCAATTTCAATAGGGAACCTTTTTACTGGAAATCTCTCCCTCCTAAATGAAGCTTTTTTGTGGTCCCTGCACCACTAAGAAACGCTTCATTTTTAATTGACCTTTGTGAAGACATGGTTTTCTCTCCTAAGCCAACACTAACTATTTGTGGACAGTGGGGGGCAGGTACTCCAGTTCAAGTGACAGGGATGATCTAATGGGGGCAAAAGTCAAAGCCCAAAAAAATCCTTGGACCAAAGTTTAATTCCCCTAAAAATCCCATTCCGATTTTGCGGGCCATAAAAATTTCTAGAGGAACTAAGCGGCCATGATACGCCTGAACTATCACAAATCTTCAGATTGTTTTGAATACCCCCAAAAAATCCCTACTTAAATGGAGCTACTCCAAAAAATATGTGCCAAAATTTTCCTACCCAAACAAAATCCCGAAATCAAAAATTTCAAACCCTACAAAATCCTTCGATCATCCCTGTCACCTGAAATCCGGAGAGCCCCCCACCTTCACGGGGTCATGGACCCAGGCACTTATAAACTCTTCATATTGACCTTTGTGAAGCAGATACCTCAATCTCCCAGGTGGACACTTTTTCTTGGTCACAGGATTGACTCTATAAATAAACTGGCTGTGACATTAACTTATTTATTGATTAATTTTTTCAGTTGTTAAGAAGTTTTCCAATGTGGTTATCTTATAAATTATATTTACACCGAATCCACCAGGAAATTGAGTAATTTTAATTTTCAGAGTACAAAAACCTTGTACCAGAATAATTCAAAGAATATTACATTTTCCAGGGCTAAAGATGTAATTAGTCGTCTGTTGTAACACCAAAGAAAATGCCTGATGGGAACCCAGGAAAATGAATGTCAAATTTCACTAAATTACATCTTACACATGAAATTTTCAGAATTTTATCTGTGTTTTCACAATTCTTGTGAAATTTGACATTTATTTTCTTGGACTGCCGTGAAAAATTTTCTTTGGTGTTACTACTGATGACTAATTACTTCTTTAGCCCTTGGAAAATGTAAAAGAGAATGCAAGATTCTTTAAATTATTATTCTGGTACAAGGTGTTTGTTTACTGAAAATTAAAGTTACTTAATTTGCTGGTGGATTCCGTCTTTACGCTTTTAAGGGAAATCTCTAACCGAGACTCAATGGCGCAGTATCAAGACCTCAAAAGAAAAGGAGGTGCTCCTGACCATCAGGCAGTAATAGAAAATGCCCGGCCTCCACCTCTGAGTATTGAAGTACATAAAATAAGAGATCTTCCAAACAAGTCAAAACCATGGAGTGATGTCCAGCTTCCTGTTGACATTCTCTTATTGACAGTGGAAGACTGTGAGTTCTTGGCTTGTTATACATACTTGATTTGACAATGGATAAGAACAGAACATTAATATATGTTATGAACAACAAGGCTACAGATTAAAAACAATCGATTCCAGTATAATATGAAAGTCTACCCCATAAAGCTCTAGATCATATTTATTTTCACACTGCATACCATTTCTGCATGACCATGGGTTTTTTTTTATTGCGAGTAAAACACACACAAAAAAGAAAAAAAATTACACAAAATAAATATATGGAAAAAAAAAAAGAAAAAAACAAATGGCGAACTTACACACTTACATGGCAATACTTACAAATATTAAACTATATTACAGCAGTGCTAATTCCATATATTACTGTACTTAGTATGATCTGTAATTAATTTTACTTTTTTTTAGGCTTTCTTTGTAGTGACCACGGGGTTGTTATCATGTCTACAAATAATTAATTAAGAAAAGTTCAGTTATTACTATAGTGAACTTGTATATAATGTCAAAGCATTAATTTCCGTGTTGAGAAACTAAGAATATTGAGTTAAAATTCAGCTTTGTGTTTGTCAGGTTCAACCTGAAAAATCTCATTTTGTGTGGTCTGTATTATATTTTATCTTTCCATTTATAGGACTGTTTGCTGCAGCCCATGATTTGAACCTTGAATGGGTGATTGTTAAAGTTTGTCAGGTTTCACCTGAAAAATCTCATTTTGTGTGGTCTGTATTATATTTTATCTTTCCATTTATAGGACTGTTTGCTGCAGCCCATGATTTGAACCTTGAATGGATGATTGTTAAAGGGATATCACATTTTTCTGATGATGGCAACACTCCTAATGAGTCCTGGAAGTCATTTGCGTCCATCATGGCAGCTTCTCTTGTGTCCAACATGTTAAATGATCCAGTTATTTTTAAAGACTGGCCTCACTATGAAGGTATTTCACATCCCTGTTCTGATATATTATTAATAATGACAAACTTTCTGTTCAGGTAATTCTATAATTTTTGATTTACTAACATTTAAAATGGTTCCAGTTTTAGTGAAAAAAGTTATTTAATACATGGACTGCCACAACTTCTCTAATTTATAGTATTGCTGGCCAGTACTTTAATTGGAAGTACATGTAATGGCATGCACAATAGAAGATATACTGTTATATAGTCTTTCAACCCCTGCCTCCAGTTCTCCTCCACACCTTGTGTAAGTTAATGTTGACTGTGAGTGTAGCAATGACAGTTGCCTACCTAACAATATCTGAGGAAGTTATAATTTCCTGAAAAATTATTTTTTAAGTTTTCTGAAGCTTGTGCCTGAAAATTTGCTAGAAGGAGATAAAAACATTCACCATGTTACTGACTCAGACACAAACATTGAAATAAAAATTGTGTTATATTTCCACCCTGGAACCCAGATTATTTTGCTAGTCAATTTAATTGAGGGTGAGATATGTCCCATATACGGCTATTTCGAGAATGGTGGTTGTTTGAAGTGCACGCAACAACCCCAAAAGGTATTGCAGGTGGTTTTGAGTTCACTGTTTTTCAAAGAAATTTGAAAGAATGGCAGGAGAGGCCATGGACATGCAAATGCTAAAGGAAAGGAACAAAAGTAGATTCGACAGCTACAGTGTCAGGAACAGTGTATTGAGCATATCCCATATTATCTTTCCGGATTGTCGTGTGCCATTTTTTCTGACAACCTTTTTCAAAATAGCTGTATAAGCCCTGACAGTGCCGTTTCACATTCTCTTGTGAGCAGAGTTTGAAGTCGACACTCTTTGTGTTCAGGGGGAAATGAGGATTGATAATTTATAGTATGTGCCAATTAAGACAACATTAGGCTTGTAGCGGCAGAATTGGAAAAGGAAAGGATCTTTTCTGTTTAAAGTTTGGCTTGTTAGGGAAATGAAAAATTGACCAATCACAGAATGAAAAATGACTTATGTTAAGGAATTATCAGGATCGGATCCAGGATAAATATTGACCAATTTCCTAAATGGGCACTGAAGGCAAAAGCTTCTATGTTGTGGAAGCATGCTCCTCAGATTAATTGAGACGGGGTATTGGCCAGTTCCATGCTTCTCGGATGAGGCAGGAGAGCGTGTCTAATGCCAGTAAATAATTGGAAAAATAAAACTCGTCCAAACCATTTTCCAGTTACAACTTTTAAAAAAAATCTGACAGATTTTCGTAAACTGGTGTGGACCCATGCCTGATTCTAACTGTTTAATGTTAACTGAGGTATTCAGTTGCTGCTAGTGCACATACTAGAGGTCAGTGATGGGTTGCTGATGGCCAGCACAGTAAATATGTAATGAGAACATAAAACTGCTAACTTCAAATAAAATATATCTTACCAAATATTTTTTTCTGACATTTTACAGACCTGTCAATAAAGAAGCAGCCTGCAAGTGAGCCCAAGAAAAAGTTACCAGGTACCATTCTATGGAATCAATAATACCTGAGAAATATTATGTAACAGACTGAAGTTTGTAACACAATTAGACAGTTAGACAATATTTTGAGGATTGAATGCTGAGATTTTATGAACATTTGTCTCTATGTTGGAGACAGGTTGCTATCGTCAGATGAGAGGTCAGAACAGCAATAACTGTGCCTGCTATAGGTGTGGGTGGCCTGGTACAGTGTAGCTTACAATGTGACACTAACCACTAGTAACATCTTGTATCATGTCCCAGTGAAATCTGCTCACTTGAACCTGTTCCAGATAGAGATAATAATTAGTTGAATCTCAGGTGGTTTAATTTTCAGGGGCACCCAACGACTGTTTTCTGTAAAATGTCTGTTCGGAGAGCCAAATATTGCCTAGAATTTTCTATTACTTGAGGACGGCTAAAAATTTCTAGATGACCGTTCGATTCGTGTACAAATTTCGAAGCTCATCTAATAAATTGCCTAAGATTTTCTGAAGTTTAATTTTTTGCATTTCACTCCCCAGGTTTGGCAATTTTTCTTAGAAAAAAGGAACCCTAAAATTTGCGGATTCAAAAATGTGATGGAAAGAGGAGTCAGAAAAATTCTCTCCTTCTTAATATATTAAATTACATCTAAGATTTTTGGGAACAAAAGGAATTTTCCGAGGTGTGCAGTTGTGATGTAAGTCTTGTAACTTGACCTCTAACCCTAATCCTACCCACCTACACCAAACTGCAAATCAAACCCAACTGTGGAATCTTAAGATTGAATCTTAAAAAGGTATCACTTAATAACACAACAGAATAATTGAGAAAAAATCTTCATGTACCATCATTACAGTACATGTAAGTAATTAATTAGTAACAACCTTCGATGTGATTACTACTATAAGTAAATATAAAAATATTGTAGTTTAATGCCTTATTTATGTATACTGTAACATAACTAGGAGACGTTTATCAACTAGTTGTGCTGTTTTCAACATGCACATGTTTAGCCTCCCAGCAGATGTTCTTAGGGTCTCGTAACCGATGGGGTAGGTACACATAACAAAACCCTAAGAAAATCTGCGCAGGAGGCTAGTGCATATGCTGCATTCATATGTTACTCAAGCCTTAAGCATTTAATTATTTATTTTTAACTTATACAAGTTCTTTTTATGTAATTAAAATCTTTTAACAGATTCTGTATGCCTTGAGAAGTGCCAGAAACGTCTGAAAATGATTTATAGCGCAAAGAACAAAGTCAGAATCATTCCATGGGACCAAAGCTCTGCTGTTGATATTGATGAGATTTACACACAGTTGACTTGGCTTAAGGATCACAGGAAACCCAGTGGTGTGACACAAAACAAGCTTGGAAGCTACACAGAGATATTCAACGGTGGAAAGCGACTTTTGGTTTATGGCAGGCCAGGTATGCACTCTAATTTTTTTTTTTTATTATTTCAAGCACTGCATGTGGAGGAATTTAAAAAGTACCAAGTGAGGTACTCAACAAATGTTTATATGGGGAGGCTTCGCCCCGAGGTCCAAACCATTACCCTTGGCATGTAGTACTTCCAGGAACACTGGAACGCCCAAAAAACCCGGAACACCGCTTAAAACCCGGAACACCGCCCAGAAAACCCGGAACTCCCCCCAGAAAACCCAGAACACCCCCCAGAAAACCCGGAACACCCCCCAGAAAACCAGGAACACCCCCAGAAAACCAGGAACATCTTCCAAAATACCAAGAAAAGCGCAAAATCTCTAAAACCATATCGCGCAAGTATGTTACAAAATAGGTTTTTGCTGCGTGGTACTCGTACGAAATTATAAGTACTAAAAAATGTATGTGTCGAGTGCCAAATTTCAATGTGAAATTATCAGACGTTTCGGGAATAACCCCTTCATCAGTGTAAAATGTCTGCCTCAAAAAATAACGCCAAAGCTTGCGCTTAGCACTTGTGTGCGCGCTGTTCAAAAATAAACAAAACACATGCGAACGCGCGCGCTTAACGCACCTAAGTGACTGTCCGAACAGACATGCCAAAACATCCTGGTAGAAAGGGTGGTGTCCCTTCCACAGCTAGAAGATCAAGCCTCAAGCTAGCAATAAATGGACGGGTGAAGCGTTTATATCCTCAAAGCAGTATTCCTAATATAAATCCCTTCCTTTTAAAACAAATGAATTTCCGAATAAAAGTTTGTCAAGGTTGCAGGGGACCACTTCAGTCATCATTAGGAACAGTTACAGACGCACCATTTGATTTTTGTGTGGCCAGAAAGGAGCGGCGGACTTACAAAGACCCTCAAACGGGACAGTTATGCACGCGCGCTCGGGAATCGGATGCACATTATCACCTTCGGGTTGCGTGCATTCAAGCAGCTGAGCCGTCATTTGTGCCGTGTTCGCTGGTCATCCCCGACAGATTGCCTCTCACAGAGTGCCACAAAAACTACATTACAAAAGAGTTCGGTCTGAGAGCCTGTTGGATTTAATTCATGTCATTATTATTATTATTTTTTTCATGTTTCTGTGCTTTGTTTGACCGGTTTATATAGCTGTTGAAGTTCAATTTTATATCTGCTTCCACTTTATTATTCTTTGTTTTAGATATGTTTTGCATGGTAATAAGTTAAAAGTGAAAAATAAAAGTTAACTAAAGATACAAATGAATCCCAACATAAAAAAACAAATCTTTTCGTGTAACGCTTGTACGCTGTAATTAATTTGCTTGACATCGTTTCCATTTAAACACTAATAAGTTTAGAAACTTTTTTGTATAATCATCTTAGGATCAACCCATGATTTTAAAGTGGATTCCTCTTTCTACGATAGTGCTTGACGTTAAGTTGCACTGAAAAGATGTTTAGTTGCCGAGAAAGAGTTGTTTCATTAAAGAAACCAACAAAAGGTAGAGCAATTGTATTGTAATTGAAAGCCTCGTGTCTTGGCTCTTTTAAATTGTTCCTATTCATGGTTCTTATTTTCATATTACTTCGCGTCCTCTTTCATTTTTTTATTTTTATTTTATTTATTTAGTTTTTTAGATTTTGCGCTTTTCTTGGTATTTTGGGGGGTGTTCCAGGCTTTTTGGGGGGTGTTCCTGGTTTTCTGGGGGGTGTTCCGGGTTTCTGGGGGAGTGTTCCGGGTTTTCTGGGGGAGTGTTCCGGGTTTTAGGTGGTGTTCCGGGTTTTTGGGGTGTTCCGGGACGTTCCGGTGTTCTGGTGTTCCTGGAAGTACTACATGCCATTACCCTTTCATGTACCATTTTTCACGAAAAAAAGGTACCCCTTTCATATACCTTCTATTGACAAATGGTACCCCTTTCACAAACCTTGTTTGCGACTTTGCATCCCTTTTAACTGCTGTAAATGCACTGTCTTTTCAGTAGGAATCAGTCACAAAAATAGAATGTTTTCTCGACTTTATAAGCCATAAAATTCATCTGTGAGCCCTTTTGGGCCCTTTTCACAGGCCCAAATGACAGATTTCCCTACCCTTTATTAATATACTACAACTAGTGAAATCCCTGCCCTTTCATATACTTGAAGCCTGAAAAAGATACCCCTTTCGGGCAGAGCCTCCCCGTATAGGCCATCATAGGGAGTACCCCCCTCCCCTGGGATATTTCAATCGATTCTTGTCTAACAATCCTAGCCTCATAATCCTTCTTCAGTTGAGTGTATTTTACTGTTGTACCCCTTTCAAACCTTCCATTGAGAAATGCTAGTGGAATCTATATCTTCAGTGGGTTCTCGGAGAAAAAGTCACTGGGTTGGTTTACCACTGGGTTTTTCAACTTAGTTGTGTATTTCCCATAAAAGCAGGAAGGGGTGGTAGGCCTTACATTTTTACAGTCATGAAAACTTTGAACACTTTATATAAACGATTTACAGTTTTTTATGTGAGACTGACTACTTGTACCCTCCCTATTTTTTTTTTGTCAGTGGTAATAATGTTTTATATCTTTGCTTCTTTTAAACAAATATGAGCAATGAAATACACCGGTCTTGAAGAAGTCGTGATAGAAAGTGACTGGGGAAGCAAAAAGTCAGCCGGGTAGAAACAAACTATTCTCCAGGTATCGGGGAGGCTAAATTATCACTGGGTAGACTGGATTAAACCACTGGGTACGGTTTCAGTGGGTCTTTTACAGAGGGATGTCAAATTTGTGCAGGTTCCTGAGTGCCTCATAAAAAGGTACGGTGGCCATGTATTAAAAATCAGGGCCACCCAACAACTTTTTTTAAATTAAAATAACTGATCAGAGGAGCAAATATTACCTAGAAATGTCCCGTTTTAAAGCTGTCGGAAGGGTATAAACACCGTCTAAGATATTCTGAGTTTACTACTTATTACTAACCAACTTTCGGGGGTCGTCTTTTACACTTTTTTCCCCAAGATATCGCGATTACCGTTCAAAAAAGGTTTCCTGAAAATTTCTATATTTCTATGAACATATAGCAATTGTCCTCAAACTTTGACGAGACCCATCAGGGTAGCTAACAGTTTTGGATGAGGCGAAAAAGCCACCTAAAACTTTCGTGACGACCAAAGTTTACCTTACCTTGCGAGCACAGGCTACATTCAGCTCATGCCGTGGAAATGACAAGACATCTGAACAGATAAATAGTTTTAAGGGCAGCTCCAAATTAATCAACCATTCTTCTCAAGCATGGAGAAAACCATTTGATTCACTTCTGACCCATTTTGAAACATTCGGTCGTATGGGTGCCCCCCGGGGGGGGGTACTTGGGTATTTTTTGGGTGGGTATGTTCCGCCTGGGACTCCAAATTGGCACCCCATTCTAAAAAAAATTTCCCCTAAAATTGATACCCCGTTCTAGAATTCGCCCTAAAACTCATACCCCGTTCTAGAAATGGGCCAATTTTTTATACTCCGTTCTAGGGTGCGAAGAATACAACAGTTTGCTTGTTAACGCATTGAACCGTATTTTTAAAAGCAATCTGTCCTTGAATAATTTCAAATGGCTGCTAACAAAACTGGAGCTTTCGTGCGTTCGAAATATTATTTGAAATTATCAGACGTTTCGGGAATAACCCCTTCATCAGTGTAAAATGTCTGCCTCAAAAAATAACGCCAAAGCTTGCGCTTAGCACTTGTGTGCGCGCTGTTCAAAAATAAACAAAACACATGCGAACGCACGCGTGCTTAACTCACCTAAAAGACTGTCCGAACAGACATGCCAAAACATCCTGGTAGAAAGGGTGGTGTCCCTTCCACAGCTAGAAGATCATGCCCCAAGCTAGCAATAAATGAACGTGTGAAGCGTTTATATCCTCAAAGCAGTATTCCTAATATAAATCCCTTCCTTTTAAAACAAATGAATTTCCGAATAAAAGTTTGTCAAGGATGCAGGGAACCACTTCAGTCATCATTAGGAACAGTTACAGACGCACCATTTGATTTTTGTGTGGCCAGAAAGGAGCGGCGGACTTACAAAGACCCTCAAACGGGATAATTATGCACGCGCGCTCGGGAATCGGATGAACATTATCACCTTCGGGTTGCGTGCATTCAAGCAGCTGAGCCGTCATTTGTGCCGTGTTCGCTGGTCATCCCCGACGGATTGCCTCTCACAGGGTGCCACAAAAACTACATTACAAAAGAGTTCGGTCTGAGAGCCTGTTGGATTTAATTCATCTCATTATTATTATTATTATTATTATTATTATTATTATTATTATTATTATTATTATTATTATTATTATTATTATTATTATTATTATTATTATTATTTTCGTGTTTCTGTGCCTTGTTTGACCGGTTTATATAGCTGTTGAAGTTCAATTTTATATCTGCTTCTGCTTTATTATTCTTTGTTTTAGATATGTTTTGCATGGTAATAAGTTAAAAGTGAAAAATAAAAGTTAACTAAAGTTACAAATGAATCCCAACATAAAAAAATATAACTTGCAAATCTTTCCGTGTAACGCTTGTACGCTGTAATTAATTTGCCTGACATCGTTTCCATTTAAACACTAATAAGTTTAGAAACTTTTTTGTATAATCATCTTGGGATCATCCCATGATTTTAAAGTGGATTCCCCTTTCTACAATAGTGCTTGACGTTAAGTTGCACTGAAAAGATGTTTAGTTGCCAAGAAAGAGTTGTTTCATCAAAGAAACTAACAAAAGGTGGAGCAATTGTATTGTAATTGAAAGCCTCGTGTCTTTTAAATTTGCTCTTTTAAATTGTTCCTATTCATGGTTCTTATTTTCATATTACTTCGCGTCCTCTTTCATTTTTTTATTTTTATTTTATTTTATTTATTTATTTTTTTTAGATTTTGCGCTTTTCTTGGTATTTTGGGGGGTGTTCCAGGCTTTTTGGGGGGTGTTCCTGGTTTTCTGGGGGGTGTTCCGGGTTTCTGGGGGAGTGTTCCGGGTTTTCTGGGGGAGTGTTCCGGGTTTTAGGTGGTGTTCCGGGTTTTTGGGGTGTTCCGGGACGTTCCGGTGTTCTGGTGTTCCTGGAAGTACTACATGCCATTACCCTTTCATGTACCATTTTTCACGAAAAAAAGGTACCCCTTTCATATACCTTCTATTGACAAATGGTACCCCTTTCACAAACCTTGTTTGCGACTTTGCATCCCTTTTAACTGCTGTAAATGCACTGTCTTTTCAGTAGGAATCAGTCACAAAAATAGAATGTTTTCTCGACTTTATAAGCCATAAAATTCATCTGTGAGCCCTTTTGGGCCCTTTTCACAGGCCCAAATGACAGATTTCCCTACCCTTTATTAATATACTACAACTAGTGAAATCCCTGCCCTTTCATATACTTGAAGCCTGAAAAAGATACCCCTTTCGGGCAGAGCCTCCCCGTATAGGCCATCATAGGGAGTACCCCCCTCCCCTGGGATATTTCAATCGATTCTTGTCTAACAATCCTAGCCTCATAATCCTTCTTCAGTTGAGTGTATTTTACTGTTGTACCCCTTTCAAACCTTCCATTGAGAAATGCTAGTGGAATCTATATCTTCAGTGGGTTCTCGGAGAAAAAGTCACTGGGTTGGTTTACCACTGGGTTTTTCAACTTAGTTGTGTATTTCCCATAAAAGCAGGAAGGGGTGGTAGGCCTTACATTTTTACAGTCATGAAAACTTTGAACACTTTATATAAACGATTTACAGTTTTTTATGTGAGACTGACTACTTGTACCCTCCCTATTTTTTTTTTGTCAGTGGTAATAATGTTTTATATCTTTGCTTCTTTTAAACAAATATGAGCAATGAAATACACCGGTCTTGAAGAAGTCGTGATAGAAAGTGACTGGGGAAGCAAAAAGTCAGCCGGGTAGAAACAAACTATTCTCCAGGTATCGGGGAGGCTAAATTATCACTGGGTAGACTGGATTAAACCACTGGGTACGGTTTCAGTGGGTCTTTTACAGAGGGATGTCAAATTTGTGCAGGTTCCTGAGTGCCTCATAAAAAGGTACGGTGGCCATGTATTAAAAATCAGGGCCACCCAACAACTTTTTTTAAATTAAAATAACTGATCAGAGGAGCAAATATTACCTAGAAATGTCCCGTTTTAAAGCTGTCGGAAGGGTATAAACACCGTCTAAGATATTCTGAGTTTACTACTTATTACTAACCAACTTTCGGGGGTCGTCTTTTACACTTTTTTCCCCAAGATATCGCGATTACCGTTCAAAAAAGGTTTCCTGAAAATTTCTATATTTCTATGAACATATAGCAATTGTCCTCAAACTTTGACGAGACCCATCAGGGTAGCTAACAGTTTTGGATGAGGCGAAAAAGCCACCTAAAACTTTCGTGACGACCAAAGTTTACCTTACCTTGCGAGCACAGGCTACATTCAGCTCATGCCGTGGAAATGACAAGACATCTGAACAGATAAATAGTTTTAAGGGCAGCTCCAAATTAATCAACCATTCTTCTCAAGCATGGAGAAAACCATTTGATTCACTTCTGACCCATTTTGAAACATTCGGTCGTATGGGTGCCCCCCGGGGGGGGGTACTTGGGTATTTTTTGGGTGGGTATGTTCCGCCTGGGACTCCAAATTGGCACCCCATTCTAAAAAAAATTTCCCCTAAAATTGATACCCCGTTCTAGAATTCGCCCTAAAACTCATACCCCGTTCTAGAAATGGGCCAATTTTTTATACTCCGTTCTAGGGTGCGAAGAATACAACAGTTTGCTTGTTAACGCATTGAACCGTATTTTTAAAAGCAATCTGTCCTTGAATAATTTCAAATGGCTGCTAACAAAACTGGAGCTTTCGTGCGTTCGAAATATTATACCCCGTTCTAGAAAATGCCTCTGAAATGGATACCCCGTTCTAAATCAGGAGCTTCAAAATCACGACCCCGTTGGGCGGCACATACCCGCATAGGTAATGTATGGGAGTACCCCCCCCCGGGGGGTGCCCCTGTTCAAATTTCCATGGGCAAGAATATCATTTCCTAAAGTCCACAAATAAATACATACTCAATGGCACTCATACCATTTTCCACGGTCTGAAAATAGACGAAGCTTGTCAGGTACTGTTTCATGATTGAGATATTTTTAAAAAGCTAGTATTTGGTTACCGCTAATGATCATCTTATAAACTGTATTTTGAATGATTTTCATGCTCAAAGCTCTTGTTTCAGACGTGATTGTATCTATCAATGTGTTTTATCTTAGAAGTGCTTGAATCAGAAATTGTTTCTCTAACTGTGGTTCATTTGTTGTTATCCAGGTATTGGTAAGACTGTTTTTACCAAGAAAGCCGCTTTTGACTGGTCCCAGCGGAGATATCAAGAAACGATAGGAGCCTTTGAACTTGTCCTTCTGATAAGATTACGTGATGTCTGTAATCTCCATGATGTTCCATCCATTTTTAAGGCTTCTCAGCTGCTCGCCAATGATGGCAAAATTTCTGTTGATGATCTGTACGACTACGTTCTAAAACATCAAGAAAAGGTCTTGCTCATCTTGGATGGCTATGATGAGTACAGTGCTGCAGGGGAGCAATCGCCTGTTGATGAAATTTGGGAGAGAAATCAACTGAGTGACTGCTGTGTTATAGTTACCTCGAGACAAATGACAACTGACAAGTTGAGATTGCCCAGTGATGCCCAGTTTGAGATTAACGGGTTTGACGATGAGCGCCAGAAACAGTTTGCTCAAAGATTTTTGAAAGATGAAGATGATGTTCGAAACTTCCGTTTCTACTTGCAGGAACAACACCTTAAAGACTTGGCGGAGATTCCACTTCTTCTGCTGATTTTGTGTCTACTCTGGAAAGAAAAAGATCGCAAAGAACTACCCAAGAAACGCGTAGAAATCTTCAATCAGTTCGTTAAGACTTTGTTTCATCACATGCATGAAAAACAGTCTGCTGAATCGGTGTTTAACATTGAGGATTACTCAGCTGAATTATATGCATTAGGGCGCTTGGCCTTTGAAGCTCTCATGGATAATTGTATGTACTTCCCGAGAAGTGAATTACCTAACTACAATCTGATCGAGAGGTTGATTGAAGTGGGCCTTTTTCAAGTTTTGAATATGTCAAGTTTAAATCCTGAAAAGGGTGTGTATTTCATTCATAAATCCCTGCAAGAATACCTCGCGGCAAGTTTCCTGAAAGAAGAGCTGATATTATCTAAAAAGAATGAAAGTACAAATTCCTTATCAAAGTTGGACTCGTTTGAAAAGATCCTCAAAATGAATGAAGTGTTAAAATTTTCTATTGACCTGTCAGAAGAAGCCGCGCGCGAGATTGTGATTCATCTGATGAAAATGGCGTCGAACGAAGAAGGACTCACGAAGTACACCTTCGACAGCGAAGCACCGTCAGATGAGGATTTTTCAGAAGACCAAATAAATTTTCTAACACTCTCCACACAGTTGTTTTTCTACTGTTCAGCTGAGACAAAAAGAAACCTCTTTCCTACATTTCTTTCCTCTTTCAAAGGAGTTCTTTTAATTGAAGCAGACCAGCTAAATGATCTTGTGAAAGAAAAGTTAGTTGAAACTACCGTAAACGTAAATTATGTTTTTTTCACTTATATCGACGAGTATACAGAGCAAGACTATAAAAACTTGATAATTTTATCTGAACAATTAAAGGCTTTCTTTGTAAGTTGTTCAGGAGAAAAGAAAGCAGCAGAATTTTTAAGCAACTTTACATGGCGTCCAGTTGATGAATTTTTCCTAAAGAAAGAAGAAAACAACACCCACCTGTATTTTACACAAATTGTTAATTCATTTGGAGTCCGTTGTCTTGCTCATGATATGATAAAGGCACTAATAAGTAAACAAGAGACAACAACAAAGAATAAAAACGTGAATGGTGATGAGTCAAGTGAAGAGAGCAGCAGCAGCTGTTGTTCAAAGCGTCATGGTCTCTCCAGGGTTCGGAGGATTGAAGCTGATGATGTGAACAGGTCAGAAGTGGAACAGCTGATTGAGATGATGCCGATTATCACCGCTCCACACATGATATGGGTTGAGGGTATATACCGTGAAGTGTTCGATGCTGAGGTAACAGAGTCTCTGCTGAGGAGCATCCCAATAACACACAAACTGGAGACATTAGAACTCCTTGGTATTAATGTAACATCATCACCTGCTGTGGAGTTCATCGACAGGTTATTTAAACAAGATCTTCCAAACTTGAAGTGGCTCAACATGTCATACAATCCTCTTCTGGGTGAAGGAGTCGACAGCTTAATTAAACATCTCAGCTGCGCTCCTCACCTGTGGTCACTGGGGCTTGAAGAAGTGAAGATGACTCCACAGCAGGTAATGGATCTGTCATCAGCCATCAAGCAGCACGGAAACATCACTGAACTGAAGTCAGACTACCACGTAAGTTTTCCAATTTTATCGCAATTTGTTTCTTTATTCTTTGTTTACAGTTTATTTCTACTCAGCTCTTGCCTTTCGCCATTTTCCTTTCTTTGTCATTTTTATACTCGACAAAACANCATGGATAATTGTATGTACTTCCCGAGAAGTGAATTACCTAACTACAATCTGATCGAGAGGTTGATTGAAGTGGGCCTTTTTCAAGTTTTGAATATGTCAAGTTTAAATCCTGAAAAGGGTGTGTATTTCATTCATAAATCCCTGCAAGAATACCTCGCGGCAAGTTTCCTGAAAGAAGAGCTGATATTATCTAAAAAGAATGAAAGTACAAATTCCTTATCAAAGTTGGACTCGTTTGAAAAGATCCTCAAAATGAATGAAGTGTTAAAATTTTCTATTGACCTGTCAGAAGAAGCCGCGCGCGAGATTGTGATTCATCTGATGAAAATGGCGTCGAACGAAGAAGGACTCACGAAGTACACCTTCGACAGCGAAGCACCGTCAGATGAGGATTTTTCAGAAGACCAAATAAATTTTCTAACACTCTCCACACAGTTGTTTTTCTACTGTTCAGCTGAGACAAAAAGAAACCTCTTTCCTACATTTCTTTCCTCTTTCAAAGGAGTTCTTTTAATTGAAGCAGACCAGCTAAATGATCTTGTGAAAGAAAAGTTAGTTGAAACTACCGTAAACGTAAATTATGTTTTTTTCACTTATATCGACGAGTATACAGAGCAAGACTATAAAAACTTGATAATTTTATCTGAACAATTAAAGGCTTTCTTTGTAAGTTGTTCAGGAGAAAAGAAAGCAGCAGAATTTTTAAGCAACTTTACATGGCGTCCAGTTGATGAATTTTTCCTAAAGAAAGAAGAAAACAACACCCACCTGTATTTTACACAAATTGTTAATTCATTTGGAGTCCGTTGTCTTGCTCATGATATGATAAAGGCACTAATAAGTAAACAAGAGACAACAACAAAGAATAAAAACGTGAATGGTGATGAGTCAAGTGAAGAGAGCAGCAGCAGCTGTTGTTCAAAGCGTCATGGTCTCTCCAGGGTTCGGAGGATTGAAGCTGATGATGTGAACAGGTCAGAAGTGGAACAGCTGATTGAGATGATGCCGATTATCACCGCTCCACACATGATATGGGTTGAGGGTATATACCGTGAAGTGTTCGATGCTGAGGTAACAGAGTCTCTGCTGAGGAGCATCCCAATAACACACAAACTGGAGACATTAGAACTCCTTGGTATTAATGTAACATCATCACCTGCTGTGGAGTTCATCGACAGGTTATTTAAACAAGATCTTCCAAACTTGAAGTGGCTCAACATGTCATACAATCCTCTTCTGGGTGAAGGAGTCGACAGCTTAATTAAACATCTCAGCTGCGCTCCTCACCTGTGGTCACTGGGGCTTGAAGAAGTGAAGATGACTCCACAGCAGGTAATGGATCTGTCATCAGCCATCAAGCAGCACGGAAACATCACTGAACTGAAGTCAGACTACCACGTAAGTTTTCCAATTTTATCGCAATTTGTTTCTTTATTCTTTGTTTACAGTTTATTTCTACTCAGCTCTTGCCTTTCGCCATTTTCCTTTCTTTGTCATTTTTATACTCGACAAAACACGAGATTTACTTTTTGAAAACAAATCGCAAACTTTAGCAGATTCAAAGTATCGTTTTAAATTCATTTCTTTCAATTGATTAAACTGAATTAAAAACAATGTTTTAACCGAGAACAAGTAAATTAATTTGAAGGTTTCTGCACTTTGAAAAATAATGGATCAGCGAGCAGATATGAAATTTCTCTTCGAGTCTGGTTCAACTCGATGTGAGCTCACTTATAACAAAAGGCAGGTACAAAAGTCGGACCGGATCAACTCGGACCGCCAGTCCGGGTGGGATCAACTCGGATCGAAGAAAAAAAATAAAATAAAATTGGACTCGGATCAACTCGGATCATAAAAAAAACTCGGATTATAAAAAATACAACAACTCGGACTATAAAAAGAAAAATAAAATCAGTCGTATCACTTAACTTTCACCCGCCATTTTGTTTTTTTCTCACGAACTCGTGGGTAAATTTTATTTTTATTTTTATTAATTTTAATGATACACTAGTGAGCAGCACACATACACTTCCAGTGAACATTTTCAACTTGGAAGGAGCAGAAATCATGCTCGCCCGGGACAACGAAAATTTTCGTACCCCGGGCGAGAATTGAACTCACGACCCTCCGAATACTACATGTTTATCGAACGTTCCAACCACTGAACCGGGATGGTCGCGAGTTCGATTCTTGCCCAGGGAAATTTCCTTTGTCCCGGGCGAGCATGGTTTCTCCTCCTTCCAAGTTTAAAATGTTTACTGGAAATTTATGTGTGCTGCTCACTAGTGTATCATTAAAATTAATAAAAATAAAAATAAAATTAATTTAAGCAACCACGAGTTCGAGAGAAAAAAACAAAATGGCGAGTGAAAGTTAAGTGATACCGACTGATTTTCTTTTTCTTTTTATAATCTGAGTTGTTTTTTTTTATGATCCGAGTTGATCCGAGTCCAATTTTTTTATTTTTTTATTTTTTTATTCGATCTGAGTTGGTCCGAGTCGATCCGAGTTGATCCGGTCCGACTTTTGTACCAGCCTTATAACAAACACTGTGTTACATAACAGCACACAAAAATTCCACAATATTATAAATTTCAGAATCAATTTTAATTCATTTTTTTTTTTTTTTTATTGACAAGAAAAAAATTTATTACAAATACTTGTTATTTTAACTATGAAAAATAATATATATATCTATATGGCAAAAAACAAACTAAATTTGTAAAGGAAAAAAAACAAACAAACAAACTAAATTCAAAGGAAAAAGACGCAAACCTGATAAGTGAAACAGTATAGCAGTAAAGTGTAGCTTGAAGGAAATGACACTAGCATTCACGTATCTAAAGAAGTTTGTCCCATGTTTTTTTGAATTGCGATAAGCAGTTAGATCTAAAAGCTATGGTGCGAAGAATATCAATTTTGTTGTAATGACGCACTAGAAAACTGTCAAAGTCCAGGACGCTGTTGCGTACGCTTGTAGCAAAAACATTATATTTGGCGACAATCAAACAGTAATAAGCACTTCCCAGTTATTTGACTCTTTGTGCCAACCATATAGAATAGTGCTTTCAGATAAAGTCAGTTTGTGATTAAATTTTTCGTGCCACCAGTTAGAAAAACAAGTCCAAAACGAAGAGGATACACTACAGGTAATTAACATATGTTTTAGAGATTGACTTTCAAGGTTGCATAAAGGACAAACATCAGTATCAGTTATGCGCGCGCGGAAGAGGCTAGATTGGGTAGGTAAAATGTTGTGAATAATTTTGACTTGGAACATGATCAGTTTTGGTTCTTTCAAGATTTTAAACGGGAGCATGTAGATGTAAGGAATTTCCTCTTTGGTGAACCCATGATCTAGAATTCTGCCTTCAGCAGTGGGTGCTGAGAAGCTTTTATCAAGTATGGAAGAATAGGCTTCTTTTGTGGAAAAAAGCTTCAAGGATGTTTCGCACTTTTCAGATTCATCATGCACGCCTGCTTTAACTCGTAGTGCACTTTTCCATTCAGTTGGTATGGCTCTTAAAAGGCCGTAATAAGTGGTAAAAGGAAATTCAAAGTTATATTTCTCTTTCATTTCTGATAAGGTAAGAAATTTAAGGTTAACATTTAGAAGGTCTTCGATGCAACGAATTCCACTTGTACACCAGGATTTAATATAAATAGGTTTTCCATCAATACATATGTTACGGTTATTCCAAATTATTTGTTTTTTTATGGAAATTTGCTTGTCACAGGTTAGTCTTCTGAAGTCATGCCAGTAATTTAAAATGGTGTGGTAAAACTCCGGAAGATTCTCTAAGTTGAGTAGCTTAGGATCGTAGTCGCATTCGATGAGGAACTCTAGACCTCCGTATTGGTTAAGAGCTTGATTTGGGATTTTTTTCCACGAAGCGTTACTTGATTCAGCAATACGCTTTATCCAAGCAATCTTTAGCGACCGCTCCATGATTTCAAAGTCAATCATTTTTAGGCCCCCACAGTGTTTTTCACCAATGATAGTCTTTTTCTTAATTTTGGGAGGCTTACCCTCCCAAATGAAGCCGAAAATAATCTTATTAATTCTGTCTATAAGGGGTTTAGATACGGTCAGTAACGAACTGCAATATATGAGTTTCGACAAACCTAATGTCTTGACAATATTGATTTTGCCAATTAAAGTTAGCTTTCTTTTTTTCCAGTTGTTGAGTGTTTTTTCTAAAGAACAAACCTTTTCTTCAAAATTAAGGGTGTTGGCTTGCTCTAAGTCATAGGAAAAGTGTATACCAAGGGCATAGACTGGTTCTTGGGGCCATTTAAAACCAAACGGCTTGTCTTTGCGCGACCTCCAACATCCTAACCACAACGCTTCGGTTTTGTTTGTGTTAATTTCGAGACCACTGATCTGCTTGAATTTGTCTAAATGTTTTAGTAATTGTGTGACAGAATCAAGATCTCGCACCAAAACGGTGGTATCGTCTGCGTATTGGGTTATCTTAATTTCATTCTGACCGACTTGGATGCCTTTAATAGTATGGTCTTTCTTAAGTACTCTAGCTAAGAGTTCGATTCCAACGACGAAAAGGAGGCCAGACAGTGGGCAACCTTGTCGCACACCTCGCTCGAGAAGGAAGAAGTCCGATGCATGACCATTGTGCAGTACACAGCTCGATGCTTGGTTGTAAATAACTTGAAACCAGTTGAGTATGTCAGGGCCAAAATTAAACGTTTGTAAAGCGGCTCTTAAGTAGTTCCATTCTATTGTATCAAACGCTTTTCGAAAGTCAAGAAATATGGCAATACCGGGTTTTTCTTCCTGCTTAGTGTGAGACATTACATCTTGAATTAGTCTAACGTTTTCACCGATAAAGCGTCCTTTAATGTAACCAGTTTGGTCAGAGTTTATGATTTTAGGAAGGACTTTTTCTAGTCTTTTTGCAATAGATTTTGTC